TCATAATTATTTAGCTTTTATAAAATGTATTGTCTTGTATTCAATTAAGTTTTACATTGTATGACTAGAATAAAAATGGTTTTTAATTTTAGTAGAATGAAAGGTTAATTTTAATTTCTTTATTGTACAGTCATAAATTATTTTCTAGCGCGAAATTTTATATGTAGTAAATTGCTCATTTAATTTCGATTACAAAAAAATGTCGTATTCATTATTGATTTATGATAAAAAAATAATTTAAAACATGTTTTTACAAATGTAATTTTTACTTTCACTTAAATGCATTTAAAGAAATATGAGTTACTCTAAGTTAAAACACATTTAAATTTTCAATTATTATAATTGACGTTTTGAACTACAAGATTATTATAAATAACCATTTGTATTGTATTTTTTAACTGTTAATTAACTTTAAAATATTCCTTTAATATGAAGAAAAATCATACGATAAATAAATAACAACGAATCAAAATGAATTTCCACATAATATTTTTTAGTATCTATTTATAAATTCAAATACATATCTGAAAACATTAACAATTGACTTCAGCACTGCAAAATGTTGCAATAAAATCGTGTACAATATGGAGAATTTTTGGCTCCACAATTGTTCTTTTGAACACGAAAATCTTGAATAGTAGCCGTTATGAGAGTTTCAACGTTTATAAAAGTTTTTTATAGTCTTGAATCAAACGGTCTATTGATAGTGACACAATAGACTCAGTGTATAATTATATTTTCAAGCAGTGTCTTTATATTAATCCAAATAATCTTTGTCTAATAATATATTGTAGGTATAATTACTCCCTTTTAAAACCCATAAAACTCATTTTCCTTAACTGTTTTCAGTATGACATAAATTTTATCAATTTATTTCGTTTCAATCATTTTATATATACCTTTTTTTGTTTGTTACAATTTCAATATTCAATGAAAAGAAAAATTTATTTGAATTCAAATTTTATTTTACTTGCGAAGATATAAAAATTATATTACGTACAATATTATACGTATATGTATCAAACAGAACAAAAAAAATGATGAGTTTAAATATATAAACGGCTGTACGTAAAATTTTTATTTTAGAATTTTAGAACCCAATGTTTAATTTTTTTTCTTTGGAATAAATTACATATAATGTATTATAAAAAGTTATATCCACATAAAAATTAGTTAGGCTTATGTATTTTTCCAGAACATAGTAAGTGATCAATTGAGTGGAATTGAGATTCTAAACCACGTAGAATATAGAAGACATTATTTAATAATATAGAAGACCGTGAATGTGTTTTTTAGAAGCACATCAAATGCCATAAAACTACTTTAAGAATCATATTTGTAAATTATTAAAATGTTCATTTCAACTTTTGTTCCTAAGTGTAAAGTTACTATGACGCGTTAGTTAAAAGAAATAGTTACGGATTCGACTTATGTTATTTTCCATTTTGCCTGAGACTTCTTTCGTCTCTCAACATAATAAATATCTCTTAATTAACTATGTTACCATTTTAACTGTATTAGTTTCATTTTTTCATTATATTTACATCAAGATTTATGAATGCGCACATTTATTCTGATCGAAGAAAAATTTAGTTGAGATATTTAAAATAAAATGAATAAATAAGATATTTAATAATGTTTAAAAAAGTAAAAAAGTTTGAAAGATAACAAAATGAAACGATTTGCAACTTGGAATCTTTTACTTTAAAAAACAAGTAGTATTTTATACATAACTTTTAATAAAACATTTTTCAAATATTGAAAGTTTGCAATGATATTTTCATGTTAAATACTGTAGACTACAAATTAAATTGTAGTAAAAAGTATAAAGTTACAATCAACGTGAGAATATTAAGAATTTAAATTTTCTAATTTTTGTTTTCACACTTTTGCTAATTTGTTATTATTATTTTTAAGCAAATTGTAATTTATTTTCAAATTCAGTTTTCTTTTCAACATTACGAAGTGCTTTTAAAATAATTCAGTTGTATTTTTTAATGACGAGAATGGCGAAACAAACAAAAACCAAAGAATATAATTGCTAAAAATTGTTATTATTAATAATGATTTATTAAAATAAATGTATCATAACTTTCAACTAAATGAAAAAAACATTAGCTTATCTTTTTCTGTAAATGCATAGTTTCACAAAAAAATATATATAATTATTTTGAATCCAAACTAATTACATTTATTTTTTGTAATTTTTAATGTATAAGAAGTAAATAATTAAATCAACACTTTTTTCGTGTTCTTTATAAAAAAATTAAAATATATACGATTTTTTACTTCATTTAACGTATAAAAACGTGGGATTCTAGTTGTGTTCGCACAAATATATTTATTTTTATTTTATTACAATTAGACTGTTTTTCTTTACACAACTTATTCTTTATTCGCTCATACTTGCTATTTTTAAATTGTAAGTATACATTAATCATCATAACGGTTTAAATTTACTTGTTAAAACATTATCTAATACATTAATTTTATTTCTTATAATTTTTACCAGTTTCAAATGTTATAATCATAATGTCATGATAACGTTTTTGAGCTTATTCTTATTTAATCAGATATATTTAAAATAGGAAATAATTAAGAAATTATCTGAATGATTTTTTAGCTTCTCAGCTTTAAAGACGAGAAGGTATTAATTTTACCATGATATGTTTATTTATTTATTTTTTTTTTTGTATCTGACATTATTTTTTCTTAGCTCTCTTTATACTTAATGCTGTACAAATTTTTTATTAAAAAAATTGAGTATATTTACAATCTCATCAAATGTGTGTAGGAATATCCCTCTTACCCTATTATCACTCCTAATTCCTCAACTTCATTACTGTAAAAGTATGTTGTAATTATTTTGTAAAAAAAAATTAAAATAGTTTTGTATTTGATTATTATGACAGAGATTGATGATAATTTTTTACTTTTTTATTTTATTGTTATAATAAAGACTGATGATATTATTTTTTAAATTATGAAAATTATTTTAAATAAATGGTTATTACACTTTAAAATTTGCATATTTATTTCATTTATAAAAGCATATAATGCTTTATAATAATATCAATTAAATTATAAATAAATATTGAATTTCAGCGATGAATAACGTTTATTATGGGTTTTTCAAAAAAACATGAGCTACTTGTATAAGCATATATAAACGCGAATAAGCATAAAAATTTTTGCTTTAATCTTAAATTTTTAGGTATTCCCTTACTGAGGGAGGACGTACGTTAATAACAGTAAACGAATGATTTTTTTCTAAAAAAAAATATTAATCTTTAAATTAACTAGTTAATTTTTTTTTTTATAAACTAGAACTTTTATATTATTACTTATAAAATGACTAGTATTATGGCTGTAGCCAATTATATTATTCTTAAAAATAAATCAAATATGAAGTTATGTTATTTTTATGAAATATAATTATATTACTGTTGTCTTATATATTTAATTTTCCTGCAACTCAAAAAATGAATTCACGTAATAAATTGTGTGTAGTTTTATTTGAAATTAAAATTGATTTCGGAAAAATTCAGGAATATTTTTATTAATTTTTATAGTAATGTAATTTTTTTGATATTTTATATTTAATAGAAATGTTGAGTTTACTATATCTTGGCTTTCATTAAAAAATTATAATTGTATAATTTATAGATAATTTAATGTTTAGTAATTAACGTTACAAAAAAAAAACAATATTTCATAATATTGCAATGTATTACTCTATATTTAGAACTTTTTTGTACCTTCAACTAATTTTAGCTTCGATGCGAAGCTGAGAAGGTATTGGTTTTACTAAGATGTGTTTTTTTTTTTTTTTTTTTTTTTT